TATCGATGTCAATCTAGAAGTGTTGAGTACAGATATTATGTTATCCACTATATTAGTGACATTATTGAGATAGGAGTTACTGAGAAACTAAACAAGGTCAAATAAAAGTTATACAGTTAGTTTGTGATTCTTCAATTTTATTCACATTTTTAATTCTTGGATAGTAATTCTATTCTTTCTGATTTGTAGCCATTTCATAGTACCAACACATATCAACCCAATAGGATCAATGAAACATCCTTTCTTTAACCCCTCAAGGTACACATTTGGAAGCATTACAGTTCAAGTGATTCACAAATCAAGCTCATAGATTGAAAATTTGCAAGTTAATTCTTAGGTTACTGTTCATTGGTTAAATTCCAGATTTTTGGTCCAACTTTAAAAAATCATAACTAATTATAGAAAAATTGTATTGAGATAGTTTAAAATTTTATTTGAAGCTATTTCAATTCTCTACAAGGAAAAAATATATAACTGGACTTAACCCTTGTCAATTCGTACAGTTTATTCATTGAAATTTACTGTTCATTCGGTAAAAACTGTATTTTTTGTATTGTTTGCCCTAACTTTGATCGAGCATAACTCTTAGCACACATATTCATTTTAAGTGATATATCACTTATTTTAAATTTCAAGATGTGTACTTTAATCATAACAAATTACACGAGCAGATTCAAGTGTTTGCCACACTTCCACTCTATCACTATTTTGTGACTTAATGAGGGGTAACTTATCCCCCTAACTTGAATTAACAATTCATAATTAATTCTTTTATGCTTAATACCATTCCATTCATCCATAAACTATTCCCATATATTATCATAGTCAGTTATACATTCCAATATCATGATATATTAATGCATACCATACACAGCATATTTATGAATATATAATCATAACATATTACGTAATATAATGTAATATTTATTTCTATCTCCTTCTCTTCATTCTTGCACTTCCACTTCTTGGTTTTATCTCCCATGATCTTTGCACCTATTATGGTTAGTTAAAGGAGGCTGAGATTCGGGAGAATCTCAGTAGCAAACATTACCATTATGCATGCAAAATAGATGCAAGTGCATGATATGCTTACTTGATCTAACTTATGTTTACTTATAACATATTCTCATCCTCAATGTTTCATATATGCATGCATGGCCATAGGAAACATAAAAGAAACAGAGCATCACACTTGCATTTACATCACATATCATCATCAAATCACATAATGTACATCAACACACAAGCATACACATCAAGCACACAAGAAAGGTAAGTTTACTACCTTGTAACCTTTAAGCTTTCTTCTTGCTCCCTTTACTTTCCAACCACCATGATTGCTTGAACAACCCTACCATTCCTCTTTTTTGGTGTCTGATGGCCCTAATTTCACAATACACAATAATATGCAATCCATTAAGACCATGAAAAACTATTAACCATCTTAACCCTTAAACTTGTTCCTCTTTAACCTTAATTTTTCACTTTCTTTCTATAGCCTGGAAAATCATTCTCTTGGTTATTTCCTACTCAATTTTTCATGAGAAATCAAAATATGAGCTTGGATTTATCAAAATCCAACTCTTTCTCCCATTTCTTATCTTGGCCGAATGGTATGCCTCTAAGGTCCAAAATTTCCGTTTTCAATTTTAATGCTTCCAAACTTGTTTTCTCGCCTTTACCCAACACAATTTTTCATTTTAAACATATTGGATGAATCAAAATACACAAAATCCAATCCTAACCCTAAGAACTAGCTCTGACTGAAATCTTACTTAAGTTACATAATCATGAAATTCAATCAATTTCAACATAAAACCACTTGATTCTTGTTCCTTTCAAGCCTTTAAACATTATTTGAACATCAATTTCATCTTTCCTCACACTTATAAATTTCGTGAAGCATGTCCTCTTAAGGTTTTAAGCTTCCAAAAACCATTAAAATCCATAACCAAGCTCAACAATAACAAGGGTAGTGAAAACTAAATCAAAAACCATAAACATATCTTGTTTTGAAGCTAATCTTGCTTAGAATCACTTAGTCTTTCTCTTCCTTTCTTCTTTCTCTCTCTAGAATTCATTTTTTAAGAGTTTTCCAATGGTTTCATGAGTCTTGGACGACAATGAGGGGAGGGGAGAGGTATATATAGAAAGCAAGATTGAATCTTGACCCTTGATCTTGCAAATATGTGGCTTGATCTTAACCATCCATTTCACCTCTTTGTCTTGTGGTGACAAGTGTCTTCATGACATCATGCTTACCTCATCTTGCTTACATCATACTTACATCATCAGGCCACATGTCATTAATCTAACTGTACACGTGTCTTGAATCTGACCGTACATGGGTCTTGCATCCAACTGTAGACGTGTCTTTATATAACTATACACTTGTCTCTTCCATGTCCCTTCATTATTTTGGTATTGAAATAGGGAGGAAATTAATAAGAAATTCGTGCAAAATATAGCCCCAGGCATTTCTCCATCTATCTTGCCATTCTACATCATATCGAGTACTTTTTCGTGTCCTGACTTACCCGAGACCACTAGAACATGTTTTGACACCATTTTCTCACCTCAAATAAGTCCAAATAATATTGCATAACATACCTAAAGAGGAAGTGATGCTCTTCCCTTGTTCTTCCGTTAAAACAATTAATAATATTTATTTTGGAGTAAACTTGACCGAATTCTTTCTATCGATCTATGACTCTGAGAATCTATCTCTAGATACCAATACTATTTATTCATCATGAGAAATTTTTCTAATTTTTCTTAAGTCCAAAGTCAACCTCTAGATAGTCTATTTTGACTTTCCCTGGATAGATTATAACTAGTCTTTAAATTCTATTAAAGCCAACCTCTTCACTTTCTAGGGACGAAATTATTTTTAAAATCTATGATAATTTCTCAAATATTTTTCCCCATTTTTTTCCAATTGTATGATCCTCCCTGTATTTTAAATAATTCAATTTCTATTAATATTCAAAATTAGCCAAAACCCTGGGAATTCTACAAATTCCTTCCAGGGGTATTTTCGTTATTTTTAGCCTTATGCGAGCCTCTAGACCTTATCCCTATTTTTTTGGAATTTTTCTGAAGTATTCAAGCTAACTTTCCATCACTGCCCCTTTTCGCCCCGAAATTTTTCAATTTTGTGTTTTAAGTCCCTACTCAAGTTTAGCCTCAGGAATCCTCTTATTACGGTTCTTAGTACAATATTTGGCCCTTAATTACATCAATTTCTTATACTAGATCCCAAAACATCACATATAGGGCTTAACATGCTATTTCCCATTTTTGTGATTTTTCAGGGATTTTCGGGCATAATTTTCATTTTTGCCCTTACCAACCCGAAACTTTACAAAATTATAATTTTGCTCCTAGTTCGGCTTAACCCTATAATTCATCTCATTGAGGCCTCTAACAAGACCTTTGGTCTATATTCATCTCCATTTCTCATTCCTTGGTCTTAAGACCTCACTGAAGTCTCTAACTTTTTCTTTTCTCAGTCCTAAAAAACATTTTCTTTGCGATTTAGTCCCTGAAAATCTCTATGTCTATCTAGGAAACCTTTGGGACTTCTACCAAAAAAGAATATGGTAGTGTAACATCCCAAATTTTGGCTCATAGATACAAGTAATAGCACACGAAAAGGATGATTACTAAGTCCAATGCAATAAAAGTCCCGGAGATCCCTTGGAAGAAAAAAAGAGATTTTCCAAGGACAAATGTGTAAAACAATAGTGTTCGGGGACTAAAGAATGACGAACTAGAAACAATTAAGGGCCAGAGGTTATGCCAAAAACTTGCAAGAGATGGTTCTGAAGGTTAGGCCTAAGGAGGGACTAAATTGCAACGAAAAGATTTCTAGGCCAAGTAGGGACCTAATTGTGAATAATAAAAATTATGGTCAATCACTGTTCGAAGTTATCAAAAATGGCCCCAAATGTTTCAGAAAAATTCAAAAAAATAGGAATAGGATCCCAGAGTCAATATAAGGCTAGAAATGACGGAAATGCCCTAAAGTCATTTCAGGTTTTTGAGCAATTTGAGATAGTAACTCAAATTGAATTATTTAAGGTACGAGACGGCCTCAAATAATCAGGAAAAACTGGAGAACAGTAGTTGAGGAATTTACACATATTATAAAATTAATTCCAGCCCCAGAAACTGACAAGGTTAGCTTTAATTGAATTTAAAGCCTATTTATGCCCTATTCGGGGAAAGTCAAATTTCCTATCTATGGTTTGACTTTGGACCCGAGAAAAATTTGAGGAATACCCTGTGATGAAAGGGAAAGAATGAAACCCAGAGACAGATCAACAGAGTTACGAGCCGATAGGAAAGAATTCGGCAAAATCGACTCCGATTGAATATTAATTATTAATATTTTGGGGAAATGAGAAAGAAGTATGATTCCCCTATGAATGTTATTAGAAGAGTATGGGAATGTATTTTGAAGATGAAAAATGTGCTAAACCATGTCCCAGAGGTATCGGGTAAGTCAGGACCTGAGAAAGTACCTATTACGATGTAAACCGGTAAGATAGGTGGAGGAATATTTTTGGATGAATTTATGCACGAATTTTGTATGATTTTCCTCCCTATCATATTGCTATAGGGGCATGAGGATATGTGTGGAAATGTGTAAAAAGATTAAGGACATATTAGGATTAAAGAAAGGATTTTAAGTAAGGTGATTAAGAAGTTTAATCAAGGTAATTAAGAAAGTTAACCATGGTTAAGTTAATTAACTATGATGACATAAGCCTAAGATATTTAGCAAGATTTCTTGATGAAGAAGCCTAGATCAAGGGCTAGGATTAATTTGAAAATCAAGGGCCAAGATCTAATCTTGCAAAATAAGATCAATGGCTAGGATTTGTCAAGACTTTTTATAAAAATCTTCTCTCCCTCCCTTATGATATTTTCGTCCACCATGAGAGAGAGGAGAGGGAAAACTGAAATGGAGAGAGGAAGAAGGAGAAGAGGAAGAACTCATGATCCTAAGGCCATCCAAGCTTCAAATCAAGGTATGTTCATGGATTTTGATCTAGTTTCTACCTCCCTTGGTATTTTTGAGCTTAGATGTTGGTTTGGTTGGGTTTTTCATGGTTGAAACCTAGGGGGGAGGTGCTGCACGAAATTGTTCAGAATGGGAGAAGATGAAATTAAAGTCATAAACATGTTTAAAGGCTTGAAAACAACAAGAATCAATTGGTTTGATATTGATTCTTCAAGAAATCCAACTTCCCCTTTCATTTGTGTATGATTCTGCCATGGCTGGTTCTTTATGTTGGGTCTGGAATTTGATGATTTTGATGCTTCCAATGAGTTTAAATGATGATTTTGTGTAGGGATATATGTAGAAAACATGTTTGGAAGCATTAGAATTGAAAATGGAAATTTTGGACCTAAGGCACCTATGTTTCGGCCAAACCAGAACAAGGGGGAAGGAGTTGGATTTTGATTGTTTTGAACTTGGAAATGGATTCTACATGCAAAATTATGTGGGAATAGCATGTGGAATTAATTTTAGAATGATTGGAAATAAATCTCAAAAGTTAGAAACAAAGTGTGATCAAGTAAGAGCCAAGTGTGGAATAGGTTGATAACTTGGTCCTAATTGATGTTTCGCGTAATGTGTTGATGTGTTTAGGACCTTGGAACATCCAAGGGGATGTCTTGTTTATGTCAACCGAAGGCTTAAACACTTGGAAGGTTAGGGGAAGCAAACGGAAAGCAAGAGGGAAGCTATGTTACAAGGTAGTGAACTTACCTATTTTGTGTGCTTGATATGTATGCTTGCATGATGTTATTATGTTGCCATGATGTGACTAAGTTATGATGAAATGTTGTAAAGTTATGTTTGCAAGTTTATGTTATGTTTTGCCTTGGCAATATGTTATTAAAGCATGAAATGCTTTAACTTACTTTCCATGGCGTTCCTATGATGATGTTATGATAACATGTCGTGCATTTGCATTATGTCTTGCATACTTATGGGTAGTGTTTGCTACTGAGATTCTCCCGAATCTCACCCTCCCTTAACAACCCCTAATAGGTATAAAGGGCATGGAGGAAAAGTCAAGGATGAGGAATGCAGGATTGATGGAAGAAGTCAAGAACATGTTATAGTCTTATAACATGTTAAGTTATGTAACATAGTTTATCAATTTATGTTTGATATGCCATGTATGTGGAATGATGATATTAAATGTTTATAATATGTAATTTGGTATGAGGTTATGTATGGAGATATTATGTGGATTTATAGCATGACAAGAGGTGGAGAAATAAATTGTTTATAAAGATTGAATTAAGTTGAAGGGATAGAATGTCCCTAAATGAGTCACGAATTGGTGCCAATGACGAGGCAGATCAAATAAATGAATTTAGCCATGAAATTTGGTGACTATACAGGACACATCCTAAGCTTTAAAACAAGTGGTAAATCACGAAAAATGGATGTGTATGCTAAGAGATATGGCTGTTCAAAGTCAAGACAAGATTTCTGGAAAGTACTGTTTCGACCACTTGAACAGTAATATTTAATGAATAAACTGTACTAATTGGCAAGATTTGAGCCCTGAAAGTTATTTTTCCCTTGTAGAAGATTGAAAGAGCTTTAAGTGAAAATTGGAATCGCTCCGTTCTGATTTTTGTAGAATTAGTTATGATTTTTCAAAGTTGGACCTAAAATCTGGAGTTTAAACAGTGAAAAGTAACTCGAGTAATTATGTTGAAAATTTTAATCCACGGGCTTGTACTTTGATCTGCTTGAACCATAACGCTTACAAATGCGTACTCTGAGGGGTTAAAGGTAGGATGTTTCAGGTAGTCTACCTATTTCAAGCTAATTCTGGTACTTCTAGTTCCAAAATTTGGCATGTTACAATCAGCACAATGAGGGATGCTTTAGCTCAAATATTAGTTGAGTTTATGGGTTGAATAATTAGTTTAATAAAATGATCAAAATTTTGGTAAATGGCAAAATTGTGGTTTTATTCAATTCACTAATTTTTCAATAGGTTTTTTTTTGGTTGATTATTGATTAGGTTAGTTGAATTAGAGATTGGTTAAGTTGTTAGTTAGGTTTTAGTTGAATTTGATTGAAAATTTTGATTACCTTAGTGTTAGATTTTAGTCATAGTATTCAATTAATTGTTTACCATTGAATGGTTTTAATTCAATAGTTGAATTAAATGGTTTGCTGGTTAGAATTGGGCTGGGTTTTTGGTTTTTTTTCAATACAGGAGGTTCTATACAAATTAAGCAAAGTATATTAAAAGAAAAAAACTTTCCATGGCAATTATATATATAACTGCTGTGACTGCCGCGGAAAATATTTTTAACAGCGATTCCTCTGAAAACCATCATTGATATCAAGCCATTGAATATCAATGGTGGACTTTTCCATGGCAATTTTCTACTAATAACCACTGTTAAAAGTTGGTTTTCACAATGGTTAAAAACCGTTGTGAATTCCTTTGCTTACAATGTCGAAGATATATATAACTTCAAAACGTTGGTTTTCACGAAAACACTGTTCACTATGCATTTTTCAAATTATGGGTCCAAATTCAAAATATCATAACTAATTCCACAAAAATTGTATCGAGGTGCTCCAAAATTCTACTTAAAGCTCTTTCAATGCTCTTTAAGGGGAAAATATCAAACTGAATTTATCTCTTGCCATTTTATACAGTTTATTCATTAAACTTTATAGTTTATTTGGTAAATTCTGGAACTTCCAGATTTCATGCCTCAACTTTAGAAATTTGTATCTCCTCATGTACCTACCCAATTGAGGTGTTCTACCTCTCATTTTAAAGCTTGGGATGTGTAATATATGCTTGCCGAATTTTGTGACTTAATTCATTCATTTGGTAGGTCAAATTGGAGCTGGAATCTAACTGCTCCAGGACCTACGTTTTATCCCTTAAACAATTCTGGCTTTAATTCTTTTTTATTACTTTGGCATGCATAACTTGGGCTTACTCTTTCCTATTCATTCTCATATATTTCCATTCATATCATAGGCATTATAATTAATTACATTGTATCAGCAATATCCATAAACATAATTTACATAATAGGAGAATTATACATTAATCCTTAATCTCATTCATTAACATCAATAATTCTCTATTTTTTTCTCCTTCCTTCTCATGTTGTTATTACCTATCAATGATTGACCTAAATAGTTGGTTAAGGATGAGTGAGATTTAAGGGAATCTCGGTAGCAAATGATACCACATAATCGTGCTAGATGGATGCTAATGCATTACATGCAACTTGCTTATTCTCTTGTTAATTAGTGACATATTAGCATGCCTAAAGCTATCTTCTTGATGCATAGCCATGGAGACATAATCTACTCATCATAAATAGCAATTACAGTAGCCAAAACATGTCACAACAACATTAAAAGATCATGTACATAGTAATACACAAGCATACAACATCAAGCAATGATAATAGGTAAGTTTACTACCTTGCACTTCAGGCTTTCCTCTTGCTTTTCCTTTGGCTCCTTTGACTTTCCAGCCATGTTAGCTTTTGGTCAACATCCTCAAAAATCCTCTTGGATGCTCCAAGGTCCTAACATAGCCATAATGATCATACAATCCATTAGGACCAAGAGATTACATAATGTCCAAGACTAACTCTCTTGAACTTAACCTTTTCTCTTAATTTTTGGATTAGTGTTCTAGCTTTGTAAAAATTGTTCCCTTAGGCCAATCCTATACAATTGCCTAAGAAATCCAAATATGAGCTTAGATTCATGAAAATAAAACTCCTTCCCCAAGAACAGCCCTTGGTCGAGAGGTAGGATTATAAAATCCCAACTTTCTAACTTTGATTCTAATGCTTCCAAAGCTTGTGCTTTAGGTTTACCCTACATAATTTTCCATTTTAAAACCATTAGAAGCCTTAGAATCATCAAAATCATATCTTAGGGTACATAACTGGGTCTGGATGAACAGTACACCAAATAATCAAATCATACAATTTTCCCAATTTTAATGCAATACCACTTGAATCAAGCTGTAATCAATGACTTTAGACTAAGTTTGACATCAAAATCATCCTCTCCTATCTCTTATAAATTTTGGCCAACACCTCCCCTTAGGGAAATCCACATTTTTCAACCATCATACTCAAGAATATAAAGCAAAATATAACATAGAACATAAAACTAACCTTGTATCCAAGTTTAGATGATCAAAGATAGTGTCTTCCTCTTGATTATATTGCAAGAGATAAAATGGCAAGAGTTTCCCCTCTTGTTCTCATCTTGTCCAAAAAAAGTAAAGGAGTGAAGGGCTATTTATAGCCAAAACTTTGGCCTTAAATAGACCAAAATGCCCTTAGGAGCTAATAGAAAGTGTATGGGCAAACTTAAAACTTCAAGTGCACTTTTGCATCATCATTACATCATCTTCTTGCATCATCCCTTACATCATCCTTCTAGAAGCACTAGGTGTCAAAAATCTAGTGGAGAGGAAGGAAGAATGAATCTTGACCACTGGATCAAAACTTAATCTCCAAGTTTCCTTCTCATTTACTTGACTCATATTTATCTAGCTTCCTTAATGGCCTTCTGGAGCTTAGAAAACTTTTCTGTCCACTGTACAAATTTTTCTTAAGTCTGGAGAATATCTATGAATTTTCTCAGGTCATAACACTTCCTTTAAGCCTTGCATAAAAATCATTAACTAAAATGCCATTTTATTGGCATAATCAGCTTTATATTTTATTAAAGCCATTCCATTAGCCCTCTGGGAGTAGGACTAATTTTATAAATTGGTACAACTTTTTAATTATTTAACCTCATAATCTTATAAATTCTATTTAAGTTTCCTTAGGGGTATTTTCATCATTTCTCTTTACAAAACTATCTTAGAATATTATTTTCTATTTTTTGGTATTTTCCTGGAAATTTCTGTATACTTTTCATTTTTACTCCAGTTGGCTATAACTTTTTAAATTTACAATTTAGTTGCTAATAAAGTGCATTGATTTAGTCCCTGAATTTATTGTATTCGTAGAATAGGAATTAATCTCAAAGCAAAGTGCACTGATAAAGTGAAAAGTACTCTCTTGTTTTTTACTTGGCCCACAAGTTACCACTCGTCCAGCCACCAATGGATAGGATTTGACTGCCACATGTCAAGCCAAGTATGGAAAGGATTTTGACTTCTATTCAATCTATTTATTTATTTTCTATTCAATCTACTTTGGAAATTGAATTTCAATTGGAATTTAGGAAGTGAAATTAGCGTAAAAAGGCATAAGGAATTGACACCTCACCATTGTAATTAGAGTGATCTTAGAGGGTTATTACAAGAGACTTGGCTTATAAATAGACCCTCCCCCCTCTTACAAGACCATATTTTGGTCAATTAGGAGAAACTCTTGCCAATTCATTTCTTGAAGTGCAATCAAGAGGAAGACACCACTTTTGATCATCTAACCTTGGATACAAGGTTAATAGGTTGTTCCATCTTGTTTATTGCTTGGATTTCTTGGTTTGAATGGTTACAAAATGTTGTTTCCCTTATGGGGAGATGCCAGCCAAATTGTCTTGGCTTAGGAGAGGAATGTTTTGATGTTAAACCTAGCTGAAACACATTGGATAGAGGTTGTTTCAAGTGGTTTTGTGTTGAAATTTGAAAGATTGCATGTTATGGTTGTTGATGATGTTGCTTGGCAAATCCTAAATCTGTACCCTAGGATGTGTTTTTCATAGTTTTGATGCTTCCATTGTGTTTAAAATAGAAAATGGTATAGAGTAAACCTAAAGAACAAGCATTAGAAGCATTGGAATTAAAGTTGAAATTTTTGGATTTCCTAGAGCACCTATTCGATTAGATCTATTTGGAAAGGAAAGAGTTTTCTTTTCATGAATCCAAGTTCATATTTGCACTACTACAAAAAAGAGCTTTTACAACGCTAATTTATGGTGGTTATTAGAAAAAACACTGTAAAAAATATGATGATGGCATTTCTGTAATTATAAGCATACTTATAAAGGCGATTATTTAAAAAACCACTGTAAAAAGTTCTTTTAATGGTGATTTTTAAGAAAAATGTCATAA